CCCACTGAAGGATTAGCTATGGGTTAGTTCTTACTTGATGGCTGTATCAGTCTACCTGGTGCGCACATTTTATTTGATTTCCTGACTACTACGTCCCTTGTTATTATTGTATATTAGCCAATAGAAAAACCAGAAGTAGGGGATACTACATGATTGTCAAGGACTGAATTGTGTGCCCCAAAAGCAAATGTCAATTTGATTCTCAGTATTACACAATTGTCCTAAATGTTGCAAACCCTAACTTCTCTGATGTTCTCAAGTCATGCTTAGAGGCAGTGATGTAATGATATAGTCATGCCCCATATGTGGTCTGAGACATGAGTCCGTTGTAACCGGATTAGAGTGGGACACAGCACCCTAATTCCATGCACAGCCCTGCTCTGATGTAAGAGCAGTTTCTCTGGGACGTGTCCCTCATTATCTTTTGTTTTATAAGAAATAAAAAGGCATAAAATTGGGAAGATCAAGAGGGACTGCAAAAAAAAAAAAAAAAAAAGGGACTGCGATACAACCAAGAAAGCAGAGCCGGGAGCAGAGTTTGTCCTGTAGACTCAGGTTTCCGTGCTGGGAACCTCCAAGAACCAAGAGATTCAAAGAAAGAAAGACTTCTCTCACAGGGGGCATCCTGAATTCAGACTGCTAGCTTCCTGAACTGGGACAGAATACATTTCTCTTTGTCAAAGCCTTACATCTTTTTTGTATCTGTCATAGCAGCACTAAGACAATTGAATCCAAAGCCTCCTTCTGTAGAGTTGGTTTCGAGTTATAACAATCGTCATTGAGGTTTTTAATTTTTTTTCCTTGTTATGTACCATCGAATCATATCCAACTGGCACAGGAGATTGCCACTCCTTCTCCAGCAAAATATCTGATGGATTCGAACCATGCGCCTTGAAGATTGCAGCGCAGCTTCTTGCCACTAGGCACCCAAAGCTCCCTTTCCGTTGAAATTTTTAAGGCTGTAAATTTTTTTTTTTACTTTATTATTATTTTTTGCGTGTACCGTCAAATCGGATCTGACTGGTACAGGAGGAGATTGTCCCTCCTTCTCCAGCAGAGCATCTGGTGGATTCGAACCACATACCTCTGGGATTGCAGTACAGCTTCTTGCCACTAGGCCACCAGTGCTCCCTAAGGCTGTAAATTTTTACGTGAAGAGACTTCCCATCTTGCTTCTTCTTCGAGCAGTTGGTAAATATGAACCATTGACCTTTTGGTTAACAGCCCAATACATTATACATTATGCCACCTGGGGGTTCCTTAAATAACTACACTGCAGTTTAAAATCAAGACATCAGGGCTGTATCCTCTCACCAAGTATATTTAATCATTGTTGTTGTTGTTGTTGTTGTTGTTGTTATGTGCCATTGAGTCTCCTGTGAGCCATAGGGACCCTATGTACAGCAGCTCTGAATCCTGCCCTGTTCTGAGCCAGTCTCACTGATTCTGGCACACCAACACCCATTGCCCCACTCACTATATCAATCCATCTCATCCAGGGTCTTCCTCTCCTACACTGTCCCTCCAGCCTTCCATCATGATGTCCTTCTCCAAGGACCACATGCCTCCTGCCCATGTGCCCAAAGTATGTGAGACAGAGCTTCAAAATCCTAGCCTCCAAGGAGAAATTTGATTTCACCCTCTCCAAGACTGACCTATTTGTTTTCTTGGTGGTCTGTGGTAGGTTCAAGACTCTTCTTCAGCCCACAACTCGAAGGCATTGATTCTTCTTCAGTCATCCTTAGTCCTTGTCCAGCTCTCTGATGCACAGCAACTAATTGCAAAAACCATGGGCTGGATCAGGTGCATCTTAGTCTCTCAGCAAATAATCCAAGAAGCTGGTGAACGAGGTAGAATGTGGAACCAGTACTAAAAGAGGACTCGTTAACAACTGTGATTTGCAGATGACACAGCCTTGTTTGCTGAAAAAATGAAGGCAATGCGGCCAATGAAGATCAGAGATTACACCCTTTAGAGATAACACTTCAACATAAACAAAATTCCTCATAACTGGAACAACAGGCAACATCATGATAAATGGGGAAAAAAGATCAAAGATCGAAGTTGTCAAGAATTTCATTTTACTTAAGATCTACAGTCAATACCCATGGAAGCAGAAGTAAAAAACAAAAAACAAACAAAAAAACAGCCAACATTTGACCCAGCAATTCCACTACCGGGAATATACCCCAAAGAGACCATAACTGACATCCAAGCAGATATATGCACACCCATGTTTATCGCAGCTTTGTTCACAATAGCAAGAATTTGGAAACAACCTAAGTGCCCATCAACAAACAAATGAATAGAGCAGCTGTGGTATATTCGCACAATGGAATAGTACACTGCATTGAAAAACAAGGAACTCATGCAATATTATTCAAAATGGGTGACTCTGGAGGACATGATGCTGAGTGAAGTATCTCAGACACAAGAGGACAAATACTGCATGGTGCCACTGTTATAAAACAGGACTGACCTCGGGGTTGGGGGGAGACTGAGAAAGATGGGTTCAATAATGTATACTGCATTGAAACACATGAGGGAGAAAACCGTTTAAAAGGGTTATGTGATTAGGTACTTTCGTCATGATAGGAGTCCAGAGCGAAGGCTGCTTAGTGGAGTGGACCTGGGGGGAGAGATTGTAAAACAATGAAAGAATTTTTCTTTTACTTTTCCAAGATGGGAGTGTACTGGGGGGGTGGGTGTTGGGAGGGGAGAAAAGTACAACAGTGAATGAATGGAAAGCCAAAGTCTCTCTAAATTTTTCATTGAAATTGGTAATAAAAATTTAAAAATAACAACACCACCCCAGCCTAGGGCCACCATATCTGAGGGCCAGCATCCTGACCAGGACTTCTTCTCTGGGTCCCTTTATCCTAAATAGAAAAATGGACTGTGACAGGCTCTGGTAGGAACAAGGAGGAAAGGGCTGTTTCCAATTTAAGCTGCTTTGCATGACATTCTTGCCACACCCTTGGAGCCTGCCCCAGGCTCTCCCCAGCCCCTCCCACAGGGGGCAGTCTCGTGCTCCAGCTCCAGAGGATCCAGGGCCACCAGGACAGTGGTTACAGGCGGGCACTAGGGAGCCTGCAGGTGCTGAGTGGGGGCCAGGAGCTCAGTCAGGAAGGGACACCAGGCAGCGCAGGCACAGCTGCACTTGGCCTCCACCCTAGCCCTGAAGCCCGAATCCCCGGTCATGGCAGCAAGAAGCTAGCCCCTGTCCAGGTATGTGCCCCTCCCCTCCCCTCGAGCTCTGGTTTCCGTCCAGAGGTCCAGAGGTGTGTCTGCAGAACACAGCACCCTGGCAATCAGTCTCAGCTTCCTGAATGATCTCTCACAGCTGCCTGTGGAAACCACGATGTCAAACGGAAACTGCACAGGGGCACTTGCCGACCTGCCGCTCGCTGGCTGCACCTCTGCTTCCCTCTCACGGACCCATCTCGCTCCTCTCTGAACCTGGCTGCCCAAACAGAGTGCCAGTCTGATGACTTCCAACAACAGAGTAGATCCTCTTGCCGTTCTGGCACCAGAAGTCTGAAATCAAGGTGTCACAGAGCTGAGCTTTCTCTGAGGCCCAAGGAGAGACGCTTTCCTTGCTTCCTCCAATTTCTGGTGGCCCCTGGCATTCACTAGTTCATGGTTTATGTCTGCACCTGCCATTTTCCCTCTGTGTTCCTGTCCTTCCTCCCTCCCTCCTTCCCTCCCAGCCACCATCATCCCTCCCTCTCTATCTCTGCATTTTTGCCATTCCTCTCTCCACCCCACCCACCTTCCTTGCCCTGTCTCTGCCATCTGCCAGTACTCTCTCTCTCTCTCTCTGAAAGTCCCTCTCTGTTCATCTGTCCATCCCTGCCTGTCTGTTGGATCCTGCCCCCATCCTTTCACCCAATACTCTGCACGTGGCTGATGATATAGAAAATGTCCTTCAAGTCTTCTCCAACAGCCTGGGTTCCTGAATTCTCTGTTGCATTGAAGTCTGTGATATACTTTGTACCTTTTTAAATTTTAAGTTGATAATTCACATTTCAGGAAGTTAAAGTCCTACAAAATCTCAGGTGGGTGGAGCTGAGTAACGGAAGGCCCTGGAGGGGTAGGAATGAGGTGGAGGGGGAGACTTTTAGACTCTTAAAAGGAGATGTGGTTTTGTGGTTACTGCTACTGCCATTCAAATATTAAGATGTTCTGCTCTAGCCCAGCCGCTCCCTCTGCACACAGATGGGTACATCCTAGAAAGGTAAGGCCCGAGAGGCGAAAGGACTTGTCCAGGCCAAAGAGAATGTTGGGACACTGCCAGGTCTCCCAGCTGGGGTCCATGTCCTTTTGTGTGGGCTGTGGGGTATGTCCACTGAGATGGATTCCCCAGATAAAGAAGATTCTGAGGATGCAGGGAGTCAGGGAGAGTGTTAGATGTTACAGGAGGGCACATCATCTATAGACCAAGCAGAGCCTTGGCTGACATTGTCCTGAGACCCAGGATTGCATTCCAGCCCTGTCTTCCCTTCCCCAAAGCCTCCAGGGATGTACTGAGGCTTCCAGAACTGTGGAAAGGAGGGGGGAAGAGGACGTAGAAGGATGGCTACAAGAAAGGAAGGAAATAAGAAAGAAGCAGAAGGGTGAAAGGAAGGAAGGAGGGAGTGAGAAAAGGAAAGGAGAAAGAGTAGATACACAGACAGATGAACAGATCACTGGAAAAAATCCAGTCCTCCAAGAGACATGGACTGTGGACTGCCCCTTCCTCTGCTTTCCCGTTTCTGCACTTGGGAAAGATTTCTTAAGTTGAACACTAAGCAGAAGCAGAGCCAGAAAGAGGAATGTTGTCCCCTGTTTAGGAGACGCAGTGAGAAGCCAAGCTGACAGGATGTCATCTGCTCTGGGAGTGACACGTCACCCTAATCTTCAGTTTTGTTCATCTTCACCCTCCACGTCCCAGAGTCCAATTCCATTCTCTTCTCTTCCACAGATAACGCTGACCCCACACAGGTCTTCACGTGGACAGGATGAGGGCTTCAGGTAGGGCCAGGCCCCCAGCATGCGATGGCTCAGGTGCAGGGTCTGGAATGGGTTTGGTTATCATTATTCACCCCTGGCCTCAGAGGTGGCCTGGTCATATTCACCAGGCAGTGTCCTCCCAAGGTCAGGCCAGAATTGCAAAGGGGACCGATCCAAGAGAGCCAGAAAGAGAGGGAGAGGGAACTTCCTGCCTCCATCCTGGAGGGCCCAAGAAACTTCCATGTGACAATTCTCATCTGAGGGCCTGGGCTCCTGAAATGGCATTCACCTTCGTAATGTACTTTGTCGCCTTGTTCTGCAGTTGTGGTTCGCCTCCTGGTCCTCCTCTTCGCCCTGGTCACCACCTGCATGTTTCTTCGTACCTACATCAGCGTCAGGATGAAAACGATCCGGCTGCCCCCATGGCTGGGTAAGTGACAGGGGGTGTGGACTAGGAAAGGAGGCCAAGGAGACAATCAGATGTAGCAGGGTGCTGGCCTGTCTTCAGGGTAAGGGAAAGCTCCCGTTCCCAGGAAGGGGAGAACCTGTGGAAACAGAGACATATCCTAAACACCTGCATTAAGAACTGTCTGCCTTCCCTGGGAAGGTGGGAAAGGGAATAAACAAAGACAGGAACTGGGAGGAAGGAGGAAAGAGAAAACTCCCCCAGTTTACCGTCGCTGATGTCAGTCTATGTCCTCAGCATCATCGCCTCCTGTGAGCCTTCTGAGGGCAGGGTTTTGTCTGTGTGCAGCCATCTCTCAGAGCAGATGGTCAACAGACATTTGCTGAATGGATGAAAAGATGACAGATAGACGGATGGGTGGTTGGACAGAAAGACAGAGGGGTGCTGTTTTACTCGCATGGCCCCACTGATTCTGCATAAATCCGCCATGGCAGAGTCATGACCAGGTTGTGGAGTGAACTATGCATGATCCCATGACATGGTTCTATGTGTGGTCTGAGAAGACAGACTTTTGCAGATCAAGGAACTCACCCAAGTTCCCTTTGTAGATGTAAGAATACAAATGGAAACCCAGAAGCGCCACATGCTAACTCTCCCAGCAAAGGAGGGAAGGAACTGAGACATCTGGATTTGTCCCCCTTGAAGACCAATAGTCCCCTCCTCTGCCACAGTCACACATTATTACCTGTAGTGGCCAAGGATGGTGCAGAGCTTCTCTGTTCTCCCTGCCTTCAGTACAACTCTACATTCACACATCTGAAGGGCCCTTCTCTCAGCTGCTTTCTGTTGAGTATAGTCCACTTGTTGGAATGAGCTTTAGGCTTATACAATGCCTAGTGTACACCGCTACCCCCAGCCCAATTTGGTTTTGGATATCTTCACGTTAACTATGACTCATAACAACCCTATGAACAACAGATCAAAGCCTTGCCCTGTCCTTCATGATCGTCATAATCTCTGCCATGCTCAAGATCATTATTGTAGTCACGATGTCAATCCACCTCATTGAGGACCTTCCTCTCTTTGTCTGAACCTCTACTTTTCCCAGCATGATGTTCTTTTCCAAAGATTGATCCCTCCTGACAGCATGTTCAACGTATGTGAGATGAAGTTTCACTCTCCTTTCCTCCAAGGAGCAACCTGGTTGCCCCTCCTCCAAGACAGATTTGTTTCAGCAGTCCATGGGGTAATCAGCACCCTTTCTCCAACATGATTCAAAGGCATCAACTCTTCTTCAGTCTTCCCTACTCATTGTCTACCAGTCCAGGAACACTGCTTGTGTAGACTAGAGAAAATGTGCTTGGCTTGCTCTGTCAGCCTTGGAGGAGGTGGGCCCACGTCAGTGTGTGAAGACTGGAGCAGTGGTCCTCAGGGTCCTCTAGATGAGCAGAGTCTCAGGCTATTAAGGAAGAAAGAGCAGGGCTTGAGAGAGACCCCAGAACTTTCCTCCCTCTAAGAACTCAGTATCTGGGATATAATGACTAAACACCTTCAACCAGCATTCATAGAGCAATCTTTGTGTATATCATGCTTTGTGTTAACTCCCAGAGACCCTGACAAGAGAAACAAAGGCCTCTGCTAACATAGAGAGTTAAAGAGACAAGACAAAAAAAAAACCCACCACTTGATTTCAGCACGTACAAAAAAGATATTGTGTCCACTGCCATGACCCAACCACTAGGACTGGTGGCTTACTGGGTAAGGAGTTGTGCAGCCAACCCAAAGGCAAGCAGTTCAGATCCTCCAGCAGCTCCTTGAGAGGTAGACAGGCAATCTTCTCCTGTGTGATTTTCAGCCTCTGAAAACCTGCTGGAGGGTCAGCTATGAGTTGGCTCTTATTCGACAATAATGAAGACCTCCATCATGACCCAGCATCTTGAGAAACAGTTCAATGGCAGGAAATAGAACCAGTAGGACAGATAGCCACCAAAAACTATTTCACCCTCTGCAGCTTCTGCCCTGAGATTCTTTTTAAACCTTAAACCAAAATATCCCCTGAAAAAAAATGTTTTTAAAAATAAAGATTAAAAAAAAAAATATCCCCAGAAGCCTTTTGAAAGCCCAACAATAGTCTAGTTTGACTAGTAAGGAACATATGCCCTGAGCACTGGGCGCTTCTAAGATCTATCTATCTGGGAGCCAATTAGCAACAGCAAATCTAAGTATTATCCAGGAACTATCTAGGGGACAGAGAGTTTCTATTATTGGTGCACAAATATCTCCGAAAAGAAGAGTAAGCATTATTGCACAACTCAGTGTAACCAATATCACTAAACTGTAAGTGTATAAATTGTTGGATTGGTGTCTGTTCTGCTGTGTATATCTTCAACAAAAAAAAAAGTAACTTATTAAAGATTAAAACAAAAACAAGTCCAGTGTCCAGGCTTAAAGGAGGAACATCCATCTGCTTGTGAGGTTTCTAACCTGAGGCCACATGCCCCATTATTTAAGGCCTTCACATGGGAGTACACATATTACTACAGCACAAATTTATTTTAAATGCTGTATTATACTTATATAACTGCTTTCCTTTGGAATCCTATTTCTTTTACTTTCTGCATTTGATAACTTGCAGTCTTTGCGAGTAAAAAATGTTAAGTGCTTTTAGACTATTCTCTCCCCCATAGACTTCAATGCTGTAAACAGAGTGGATTATATTTGGGGGTAGGGGGTGGGGTTTGGGGAGGTGCGGGGGGATTGTGTACCAATGAGGGAGTTTTTCTTTTGCTTTTCAAGGAGAGGAGCAAAGGGGGGGGGGGTTGTGCGGGGAGAAGGGTGCAACAATGAATGAATGGAATTCCAAAATCTCTGTAGATGTTCATTGAAATGAAAAATAAACAAACTAAATTTAAAAAAAGTTAATAAACATAAGGAATGATGCAAAAAAAAAAAATGTTAAATGCACCAAGGGAAGTAGGACATCTTATTCTCGGGGGAGTTTATTGCCTCTTCTGTAGCAAAAAGGCCCAAGCCCAGACAGCAGAGATTAAGAACTCCTGGTTTACCTGGTAAACTAAGCAGGACTGCTTCAGATAGGAATGGCAATCCTAACTCAAACTGGTTTAAACAAAACCACAAAAAAAGACACAAGGGTGTCTTGATTGACGTAACTGGCAATTCCATGAATATCTGGTTTTCAGAATTGTTGAATCTACCCACCTCTACCCAAGCCAGTCTCTCTGCTTCCCTGGTCGTTGATACTTCTCACTCCATGGGCAGCCTCCTCTGCCAGGTGAGCAGAGGCACCAGATCGCCACCTGCTCATTTCCTGGTTTAGCTGAGAGAGGCACTTCTCTCCATCCCAGGCCTAGAGCAACCCAGGGAAAGGCTCTGATTGGTTCTGCTGCATTCCCGTTGTGGGCCAATCACTGCTATCAGGGAAATAGAGTATTTTGATTGGTTCTCCTGGAGCCTTAAAGGCAGGGGTGAGGGAACTGAAGGATGGACAGCCCTCTGAAGACCACATGGAGACTGTGTATGTGTGGGGACTCCCAAAGAGGGACATAGATGGGATAAAACAGCTTATTCATTGTCCCTGGAGTGTTTCCTTCCCAGTGTTTCTGTTCCCAGTGGGGCCCTGTCCTCTAGGTTTTTTTTATGAAGTGGGTCACCTGACACAGAGTCCCAGCCCCTAGCCTCCAGCCCAAGGAGCCTAAGGGAGTCCAAGTGTCTTCTCTCTAACCAAGTTCTGTCTTCTCTTCCTACAGGTTCTGTCTCCCAGGAACCCCGTGAGTATCCACGCAGACCCCCAATTGCCCTGGGGTGAGATGTCCCAGGGTCACTAATCTCAGGTCCACACAGGGTCTTACCAGGTCTTTCTCTTAAAGCCTTTATGGTGTGTAAAGCCCTAAAGCCCTGTGGCAGGGGCAGCCCCCACCCCAGCCATTCAGACTGTTATCTTTCCCCAGGCCCCCCTACTCCACTGTCTAGGTTGGGCCCTACTCCCTACCTCCCCTAGACAGTCCTGCTCTGACTGCCCAGCTGGCTAGGACCCCACAGGACAGGGGCTGTGCCCATAATCATGGTGACCCCAGGCCTGGCTCATGCTTTATGCTCCCAGTGATGGGGGTGCATGACAGACATCACTGGAGCCTGAGACAGAGGACACTCACTGTTAACTAGAAATGCCAGATGTCCCAGAGAGGTGGGGAATGAGCTTCTGATCCTGGAGGGGCACACACGTGAGTGGGCCAATCAGGGAAGAGGTGCTGGTCAGAGGAGGAGGTGGGAGGCCCTTGCCGAGGTTTGAAGGCAGGAACATGTGAGTGCCAGGGAGACCTCTGCTGGAGAATCAGGGAGAGTAGTTGGGACTGGGCTAGACCCCCAAAGGGCAGGAATAGCTCAGGCCCCAAAGCCCCATGGGCTTCTGAACAAGGCTTCAGTGGGCCTTTCAAGTGCTGAGGAGCTGGGAGGGAGAGCAGCGATGGTGACAGTGACAGCGCTGGTGCTGTCTGTGTCAGATACTGCGGGCCTCTGACAGGAGCCTCACAGCAAGCCTAGGTGGTTGCTGTAAGTATGCCCACTTTATAGATGAGAGAAACCTGAGGCTCAGAAAAGAGAGGCCTTTTAGCCAAAGCCATGCAGCTGAAAGTGGTGATCACCCTCCAAGCAACCCAAGAAGTACCTCAGGTCCCCTCTACTCCCCATCGAATGTGACTTTAAATAGAGGTGCAGCTCAAAGGACCGGGCTTTGCCTGCTGAGAAGGCTGTACAAGCCCCAGTGAGCTGTGGGACTAGAGACAGCAGAGACTATCAGCAAACACCATTCACTCCCACGCCCTCAGTCTCGCCTTCCTGCGGCCTCCTGACTGGGGTTCTGAAGCAGACACAGCCAGCCACTGCTTCTCTGTCCACAACGAACATTTAGCCGCCATCTACTAATTAAAAAAACAAACTCATTGCTGTCAAAATCACACAGGAGGCAATTGCTCCTTTTTCTCTTAGGGAGCAGCAGGTGGGTTTGAATCACCTGCCTTTGGGTTGGCAACAAACACCTCACCCACTGGGCCCCCAGAGCTCCCTGTAAGAGTGTGCTGATTCCCAACTCTCAGGCTACTGCCCACCCTGCCCACGCCTGTGGTAGACATCACCAATCGATCCCCGTACGCTTTCCCTCCAAGGTGGGCTGCTCAAGAGTTATTCATTAAGCCCCTAAAATGGATTTAAATGGACATTTACAATAAGAATAACAGATAAATGATAGATAATCGTGTTCTAAATCAAGTCTCTCGTTTTACAGTTGGCAAAGGGAGAAATTTCTAGGAAATTTTCCTGAAACTCCTCTCCACCGCAAGCCCAACCAGTCAGCATCAAGTAGATTGTGACTTGCAAGGACCCCACCTGTGTCTAAGTAGAGCTGTGTTCCCTGGGTCTTCATGGCTGATCCTTCTGAAGTAGAAAGCCAGGCCTTTCTTCCAAAGCACTTTTGTTGTTGTTGTTGTTGTTTGGTGCCGTCGAGTTGTAGACAACTCATAGCGACCCTATGAACGAAAGACCTGAGCACTGTTCATACATAGAGTTTCCGGAGGCAAGCCATTTCGGAAGTGGATGCCGCTCCTGCTTCCAGGCTTGTTTTAGTCGGGAAGCTCCAACAAACACTGTCCGCCATGGGTAACCATTACCACAATTGGCACATCACTGTCACAATGTTCAGCATCACAGCAATCACAAGTTACCTCTGTACAGCAACGCACAGACCAGTGCTATACCACCTAGAACAACGTTTGACAGGAAAACAATTTGAACACGGCCTGAGGGCCGCAGATTAAAATCACATACCTTCGGCTTGGTAGCATAACTTTCTGTCCACTAGGCCAACGTAGCTCTCGCTATAGGTGGATTTGCACTCCTTACCTTTCACTCAGCTGCCAAGATGTTGGCACCAGGGATGACTCCCAAGTCCAGTGCTCTTGGCAGCATACCAGCCCCACACTTAGCAATAGACTTCAGGGTTCCTTGAGGAGTTTGGGTCTCAGGGTTTGAAGCAGCCGGCGGAGGCCGCTCTCTAAACCCGAAGAAGAAATCTCCTTTGTCCAGCGGCCGAGACCTTTGAACATCACTCACTCCCTCTAGCAGCTGGACCGTGAAGGCTGGATGGTCAGAAAATCCATTCCGGAAAAGCCTTCTTAAGCCGGCCTGTTGACATGGGGCTTTATCAGACTTAGCTGCAGTTGATTAGGCTCAAGGCGAAGTCTGAGGTGGTCCCTGAGGCCCACAGTCACCTCCAGCGACATGAGGTCCTCTCCTCTCCTGACCAAGCAGAAGTCTCCATGACGGGGTGGGTTGCAGGCCTGAGGGTCACAGGAAAAAGAGAAGCCCTGTCCAACTTCACTCCCTTCTCAAATCAGTCCTCTGTCAGGTAGAGGCTGGTCTTCCTGGGGGTCCTGTCCAGAGGGCTGGTGAGGGAAGCCTGTCTGTCTCCAGCCAGTGTCCCTCCTGAGTGTGGGTCTGAGGGCCTCACTATCCCATAGCCCCCTCACTGGTGTGGCCACTCCCTGCCCTCAGGTTCTGGGTGACTGGGTCCTGGTTTGACCCTGGGTGCTTTCCCCTTAGATATCAGGGCTCTCTCTCCTGAAGGAACTGAAGCCAAGTTGGGTTTCTGGAGTGGGCTGCCATCACTCCTGGGAGGGGCTTCACTGCCTTGTCTAGAAGGGCTATGTCCACCCAGAACACAAACCAACCCACTACTGTCGTCAACATTCAAGTTTCTGAGACTAAATCTTTATGGGAGAAGATTGCCCAACTCCTAGTGGAATCGAACCACTAACCTTTTGGTTAGCATGCTGATTGATTGGGGAGCATGCCTCCAGGGCTCCTTGATTCATCTCAAGGCACCCTAGAGACCCCACACCCCATCCCAACCTTAGGCTTAACATTGCTCAAATGTTCTAAATGTTCATTCATTGCACATTTATTGCAGCCCCCCTGGGCGGTGCAAATGGCCATAGTGCCTCAGAAGAAAGGCCTGGCAATCGACTTCCAAGGGCTCAGCTCTGCTTTGACACATGGTTACCATGTGTCAGAAGCAAGTGGACGACAGTGGTTTTAACTGTGTCCTGGGGCAGAGGTAATGTAACAAGATAATAGGCCCATGCCCACCTCCCGGCATGTAACTACATGGCTGCCTCAGCGTTCAGGAAGACGGCGGAGGCTGGAGGAAAGAAAAGATTTCAAACCACTACTTTCCCTTTGCAGGTGGAAATTCCCTAATTCCACGTTTATCCAACCTTCCCTAATGGTGCCTTCTGAGCTGTCAGGTGGAGTTAGAAACACACATTAATACAAATTATAACCTGCCAGGCAGAAGAAGTGCAGGTGACGTCCCGGCTCACAGATAGCCCGCCAGAGAGCCACGTGGCTCCTGGATGTCTTAGGTCTCCTCAGACTGTCCCTTGTTCACAGGTCGCCTGGGTCTGTCCGGAGGAGAGACATTGGTCTTAATAATGACCCAGTAATCAGAGGGGCAAATCCTGAGTGTGGAGGCCAGCACTGGGCTGAGCTCTGGGTCAAGGAGGACTGGAGTCTCCCACCCAACCCTTGCTTATGCCCCAACCTCCAGCACATAATAGTGATGTGTGAGTGAACAATGAAAATAATAATAGTTGATTCATCTGGATATTAGGCACTCTCTATTTATTCCTCAAAAGAGCTCCGGATCCTACAGTCATTCCACTGTACAGAGGAGGAAGAGTTGAAGGATTTACCTACAGTCACCAGACTGGCAAGAGACATCCCTCACCACCATGTCAGAGCCCCAGGGTGTGGTCAGCAGGCCTGGGGGAGTTCAGAGGGCTGCTGTGGGCCCAGCGCTGGCTCCAGAGTACACCCTTTAATTCGTGGGAACTCTGGTTGTTAGGTACCATTTCTCACAACCCGCTTCCCGAGGGCCTGTGCTGAGCCAGGTTCGATTCTAAGTTCTAGGCTCGCAGCTGAAAGAGCTCTGGTGGCCTAATGATGAAAAGCTGCACTGAAATCCCAAAAGCACGCAGTTCAAAACCATCAAGCTGCTCCATGAGAGAAGGATGGGCTATCTCCTCCATGTGATTTCGTGCCTCTGAAAACCCACCAGAGGGTCAGCTATGGGTTGGTTCCAACAGGATAGCGCACAATAACAACAGACACACAGCCAGATGCAGGGGCCAGGAAGGTTGGGGTCGGTAGGTATGTGGGACCCAGACAGGGCTGAGTCCCCGGTGAGCTGGTCAGTGAGGACCCACCAGGAAGAGCAGAGTCGTGAGGCTGCACCCCCCGCAACCATACTCCCAGATCCCACTTCGTCTGGTCTGTTTCCTCCCCAGGAATCAAGTCCAAGTGCAGCCTCAGCAAGCCCTGCCCAGCCAGCTACTTTGCATTTAAAATCTGCAGCGGAGCCGCCAATGTTGTGGGGCCTTCCATGTGCTTCGAAAACAAAGTGTAAGTGTCTGAGAGATGCTGCTTTTCCTTTTCTTTCACTCACTCACTCACTCATTCATTCATTCATTGGAAAGTCCTGCAGCCGCAGCAGGCAGGCTTCTGAGACCGGCCCCACTACACCACCCCCACTTTCTTTTTTTTTTTTTTGCCATTGTCAAAGCGTTCTCTTGCTGTTATTGCCTTTTGTTTATTATCATTAATTTTAATAGACATTTACAGAGGTTTTGGATTTCCTCCAGGTGGGTGAGTCACAAGGAATAATCACCCCAACAGCTTCAAGTTTTATAGGATCATCTCACTCACGTCTTCGGTATCAGCACTGTTATTGATCCTCACCATAAAGGTGAGGAGGTCGAGACTTGGGGGTTAGTCAGCTAGTTGATGGCAGAGTTAAAATTTGAACTCAAGTCTGTCTGACAACCAAACTACTTCTCATGAAATGGGTGACAATTGGGAGTGCTCCAGAGTGGCTTCAAAACTGGATGCAGCAGCTATGGAGCCTATTCCAGCCAGGTTGGAAAGGACCCTGGAGCATCAATTCTTCCTGCAAAAAAAAAAAGCCAGAGAGCAGGTGTTTTTTGCTAAGATTCAAAGCCCAACTTCCACTGCTTAAACAGTAACAATAAAATAATTCATTGATTGACTTGCCGAAAAAAGCCGGAGATGGCAAGCTTCAGGTCCGGCTTGATCTAGGGGGTTCAAATTATGTCTTCAGAGCTCACTCTCTCCCTTGCCTTGACTTTTCTCTCTGTCTCTAGCTCTGATTTTCTGTACAGCTGCTCTGCATGGTCAAGGTGGGAGACACTCCTCCACTACCTCACCCCACTCTGAACTGGATTGGCCTTCTCCCAACCTACCACCCCAATTTGGAAGAGAGTCCACTTATGAATTACCCTCGCAAGTCTCAAAGTCGCGTTTCATTGGCTGGTCTGAACCACATGACCATATCTGACCAATCACTGTGGAGCACTCAGGCCTTGGGAGCAAAGGCCTTCCTGAGAACCAACTGCTTAGCCTGATAGGAGAGGAAGGACCTGCCTCCCAGGTTAATCAAAAAGATTGGGTTGGCCACCCTGAGTTCCTCCCATGCTCAGGTCTCAGGGCCCGGGCTGGGGTGATGGTGGGACAGCACCACAAAACTTCCAGGCAGGGACCCTCCCGCTTCTCTGAGCAGACTGGGCAGAACAAACCCTGAAGGGTTCAGTAGAGAAAGCAGCCCCCGCCTCGTTTCCAGGAGAAGACAGGTGGCCCGCGTTCCTCCCTGTAATTCCGGCATTGCTGCGGTGTTACGCCTGATGCTTCGGTCCTGCAGCCTGTGGGCAGTCATGGCCTCTTCCCGCTTGGGACCCTCTGTTTCTCTCTCTCTTCCTCAGGATCATGAGCCCTGTGAAAAACAACGTGGGCAGAGGCCTCAACATCGCCCTGGTCAACGGTGAGTGGCTGGCCCGCCCCAGAGGCCCCTCCTGTGCCCACCATGCTGTCAGCTAGACAGATGCACACTCACTGGGCAAACATTAGCTGAGCTCCTCCAGCCACGCGGGCTGTGCTGGTCCCTCGGTGCTGGAGAGTGAGCCATGGCAGAGCAGTGGGAACAGACCACCTAAAAGACAAGCCTATCCGAGCACTTGGCCAGAAGATTGGAGGTTCAGATTCCCCCCAAAGGCACCTCAGAAAAAAAGGCTTGGCAATCTAGTTCTGAAAGCCCAGTCATTGAAAATTATGTGGCTCACAGCTTGACTCTGACACTCGTGGGGTCACCATGAGGCGGTCAGCAGCGAGTTACTGGTTACTATCACCTAGTCAGGCTTTTCCACATCCCAGGAGGTGCTTATCCTACGGAGCACGGCCCGGCCTGATGGTCTCTCCAGCCTAAACCAGCACACATCACGTGAGGCCGAGGACCACGTGCACACCTCTATCCCATATTCAGTTAACAGCAGCCGCAGCTCCTGTGGGCTCAGCCCTCTCTGTGCAGGCCCGAGGGTCAGCCAATAGTGTGGACAGACCCCCTTGGGGGTGACATGAGGCTCCTAACCCATCACAGGGAGGAGAAAGCAGCATGTGTTCTGGGAATTGGGATGCAGAGCTGGGCAGAGGACTAGTTAGGGCTTCCAGAGGGAGGCAGGGGCCAGCAGGGGCCTGAGGATAAGGAGCTGGCCAGGGGAAGGTGGCGGTGAGGTCCTTTCAGGTGGGGGAAGCTGGAGAGATACAAGGAGGAGGGGGCTCCTGAGGTCAGCTGAGAGTCTTCCCGGTTGAAGCATGGGGGTGGGCAGTGAGGAGGGCCCCACATCCTGCTTGGGAGGGTGAACTTGACGCTGAGGGCAGGAACGAGCCCTTGAAAGGTTTGAGCAGGTCATGAACAGGTAGCTGTGCATTTCAGAAACCACCCCTTTCAGTTGGAGATGGAGGCGGGGGACCCCAGGACGCCTGTGACTCTGCCCCTGGGGAAGGGGGTGACTATGCCACAAGGGAAGCCTTAAATAAGGCATGTTCTGGGGCCTGTATTGTCAGATAAGGGCATATGATAGGCCCAGTGTTGGCCTCTGCCTTTGACTTGAACGGGAAGCACAGGCCACTTCCGAGGACAGAAGTCAGGGCCATGTGGGAAAGGACACAACACACATTATTCAGCCTTTTCCTGAACACATGTAGGGAGAGGCAGGGTGGGGTTTGAAGCCAAGCTGCAATACTTTGCTCCTAGAA